GGTGAGCTAAGAAAATGCTTATCTCCCCGAGCCTGGCCTTCATAATTCCATTCCATCACATTTTGCCATTTTTGCTGCTGCTTTTATTGCTGTATTGTTATTGTTTTATAGTTTCTCATGTTTCTTGCGAACGGCCCAGAGTCGTTGGCAGTGTACAAAATTAAATAAATAAATAACTTCCCATTGGGGAAGGTGAGGATAAAGAAGAACTGGAGGGCAAAAGGGGAACTTGCCACATTTCTGAATTTGGCAGAGAGTCGATTTCCCAAAAAGGCCCCTAGATGAATTTTGCAAAGTGAACACTCTACATGTCCAAAAGGAAGATGCCTCTCATCATATGTAAGTGCACCTAGGAGCTCATCTGACTGCCTAGGACCAGAATTAGTCAAGTATTTCTAGACGTATCTCCCCTTCCTATGAACTTATGAAGCTTCTGATTTTAACGCACCTGATTTCTGCCCCGGTCTGCAACTTTTGTTTGAGTTCGCTCACGCGAGCTGAGACTTCCTCAGGATGAATTAAGCTATCAACTGTATGATTCAGTTGCTCCTGAGTATCTTTCAGCTGCTGCCTCAAGAGGTTGTTGTCTTTCTGCGAGAAACATGTTTGAAAGGTCACGTTTCACCACTACGAAGTTGGAATTTATTTCACCTTTCCATTTCAATGATAGGGTAAAACATACAGAAGTCTCATCACAACATTAATTGTATTACACATCACTAACAGGTTTTTTTGTCATTCAATTCCTTCAAGGAACACTTATTACGAGGAATAATAATGTCTCTTTGATAGAGGTTTTGTTAATTTTTAACAGACCTGAATGACAAGAAAACACAGCTACGTGACTGACTTTCACTTAACATTTATCACAGTCTAATATCAGTCCTTTGAAAGAAAAAGAGCAGAGCCACAAATACTTGTTCAAAAGGAAAACCATTGAGAAGAATATTCTACCTGCAGTTGTTTGAGTTGGGAGAGCAGTTTATTATTCTCCAGTTCCCTCTCTTCGGACAACTGTGCTTTGGCTAAGGCGTTCTCCAGGGCCTGCCTTTCCTTGCCACGTTGAGCTTGGAGGGCAGAATGTTCCACCTGCTCCCCCCAATCAGAAAAAATGATGTAGAAAACAAATGACAAGAATGTTCTTTTAAGAAAACGGAAACAACCCCCCCCTTCCCCACCATTAAGATAGTGAATATTAATTTACAAGAACATCTTTCTTCTAAAGGCAAAATGGCCCTTAAGATGAAGCTCCCGTTTCTCGACTTCCATCAGCCAAACTTGAGAATGCCTTTAGTTGAAAGGAATCTGCCCAGAACATCAGCTTTAATGCCTCATCACATCACTGAGGAGGTCTTTTCCTAGCAATGGTTCTAAAGCTGAAAAGCCACAGGGTTTTGATTTCAGAGAACAGGGTGAGAGGAACTTCTTTCTGAATATGTTTGCCTACCTGGATAATCTGCTTTAACTTCTCGAGCTCTTCCTTTTGCTGACTGGCTTCAGCATCCCGGGCCTTCAGCTCAGCTTCCAGCTCAGCCTCATAAGCGCTGATCTCTCCTTGGGCCTCCTGTAGGGCCTCATTGAGTTCGCGCTGCTCTTGGAGAGCCCGTTCCAGGTTTGCAGTTTCCTGAAATCAAAGATAGCTTTGGATTCTTCTAGTCAATCTGTTCATGATATTGCACAATGTAGATCGGACAGACAGAAACAGGCACTATTTTCAGTCGCCATGTGGGAAGGGGAAAAGGAAGGGATCTGAGACCCTTATCTGATAAAAAAAACATTTCTGAAGCCGGTAAGGCCACATATAACCTCTAATGGCAAATGCTTCCCAATCCTGCATGCTCTCAAGTGCAGTAAGTAATACGTGTGGAATGGAAGCACTGGATGGGAAGGCTGCGCAGCCGTCTGCTCCTGAATGCTTTTCCACATGATGGAATGGAAAAGGAAAGAAAAGCGATGGTGATGCCAGGCGATCAGCAGGATGGTCCACTTGCCAGGCCCCCAGAGCTGGTGAAATCTGCCATACCTTCTTTCAGGAAGCAGAGGTGGGCAAAACGCAACCATCACAATCCACAACGGTTGAAGGAGAGATGAAGGGAGCGGACTCACAACATACTTGTTAATCCATCGGCCGAGGCCAACGCTTCAGTTCGCCTAACGAAAGAGCCACCCCCAGCATGTCTGCCAATGAAACAGAGAAAAGCAGTATTTTGGGAATACAGTGGTTTTCATAACTCACTCTTCTCAGGTTTTCAGCATCGATGGCAACTATTTCCAGCTGGTTCCTCTCCTCCTCTAACTCTTCCACTCTTTTCTGCAGACCTTCCTTATCTTTCCGCAGCTCTTTGCATTCATCAGTGGCTTGCTTTGTCTGGCTCTTAACATTCTCGAGATATTCCTGTAAGCCTATGATAACTTCTTCCAAGTCTTTCTTTAGTGCCTCATTGGCTGCAATCTGGCCTGTGAACAGCAGGAGCAATATTAGTGCGCGTGCAACAGCAACTGTGGGTGAAAGGATGTGGCTTCTTGCCTCAAATTGTATCTAGCTGCCAATCAAAGCTAGATCATATCATCTCACCTATTCACAACAAGAGCTTTAGCAACCCTCTACATATTAAAAGTTCACAATCTACACCCCCATGATCCAGATGTTTCTTGCAACAAATCCTTTATGCCAGTGTTGTCCAAACTTGGCCACTTTAAGATGAGTGGACTTCATGCTGGCTGGGGAATTCTGGGAGTTGAAGTCCACTCATCTTAAAGTGGCCAAGTTTGGACAACACTGCTTTATGCTTATCGGTGACTTTAAATGCCTGCATCCATACATCTGAGGCACACACGGTCAGGTGTGGACTTCATGCTGGCTGGGGAATTCTGGGAGTTGAAGTCCACTCATCTTAAAGTGGCCAAGTTTGGACAACACTGCTTTATGCTTATCGGTGACTTTAAATGCCTGCATCCATACATCTGAGGCACACACGGTCAGGTGCCAATAAAAGCTTTGGATGTGTTTTGGAAGGAGAGACAATTGCAAAGGAAAAGGTTACCATCTGTGAGCTGTTGCTCCAAGTCCCGGATTTCCTCAGTTTCATTTGCAATCCTGGATAGCATGTCATCGAGGCGGCTCTCGAGTTGCTTATAATGCCTCCTCATTATGTCGAGTTGTTGCTCTTGGCTTGCTTTCTGAGCCTTCATATGGGCCTACAGGCAGAATGGACAGCTCAAAGCAACACCAGAAAACAAAAACTAAAAAAACCAACCGCAAAGATAAATATTCGTGATTTCAATTAGAAAAGATGTCCACGCAACAACGCTGGCTTTTGCTTCTAGTGTCTCTTATAGTATGTTAGTCTCCTCACACACTCCCTGTGTCTAAAAAAAATAAAATAAAGCTATTATGGAAGGACAGAATATAGAAGTACACAGTAGCTGCTCTTGAAGATCACCAAACCCATTCGAACTTGAACTATGGGCTTGTCCCATACAGCATCTATCATGTGTAGTCTGACAGCACGGTTTTTAAACTGTCCTGATAGCATGTTTTATTCCACTGCTCCATTTGAGCTGGCTTAGAAAATAGATGGTAGGTAAATTCTGCATGCTTGATTCCCTCCAGCTGGGGCTTCAGGCGACCAATATCTATAGCTATCCTGCATTTGGCTATTTCTACATCAATAGCAAAAAAAGAAAAAGAAAAAAAAAAGGATGTTTTGCACTGTGAACTTTCAAAATAACAACAGCAGCAGTGGTAAAATAAAAAAGAAAGAGGTACAGTATCTCGAAGGTTAGTGAGATGGTCCCTTGACCGAGATGGTAGCATCCAGCAATTACTCTAAAAATGCAAAATCGTAATTACTACAATTCCAAGAATGGAATTATTTCAGGGTACGCTCTTCCAGGCTCTCTGCAGCAATGCAAAATGGTTGACACAAGTTTCATTTTGAGCCTGATCACACACTCGCCAAACTTCCCAGCCATCGCTGACACACCCACAATAATGCAAGAGCTTTCTGTACTACTGACTTCCCGGCAGCTGCCGAAATGCCTCAAGAGTCTTTCGATAGGAGGAGGGGAAGAAAGGAGAACACTTACGCTGCTTCCTTTGCCTTGCCTTCCTTTCAGCAGACCCCCTCCCCCTCAGCCTGAGAAATTCATCGTGGGGGGAAAACAGCAGCGACAAAGAAGTTGCTTAACTGGGACAGAGTGCCCCCAATCTCCTTCCTTGCCTTGTGCATCGGTTTTCCTATCTGACAGTTGCGTTTCGGCAAGGATGTGGTTTGAAACAAGCGAGCGCCAGAGACTGTGTGGGATTCTTCATGACGCTTGCACAACGGTAACGTGTGTGCCAGCCCCTCCTCGTCTGAGCTAATTGAGCGCTGTCCTGTTTGCTTTAAATCACAACACAGGAAGCTCCCTCGGCAGCCAATCGGCTTCAGGACTTGCAGCAGGCAGCTCTGCTCTCCACGGGGTGGGGCTCGGCCTTTGGAGGAGACGGCTTCCTTCCTTTTGTTTAGAAACCATGCAGGATGTCAGTTTCGGAGGACTGAGGTCCCGGGTAGCTGATTTGGCAGCGCTTTCTCTGGTGAGCTTCATGGCCCCATGCACAGAAAACCGTTTGGGACAAGAAGCCTTCACACTTATGGAAAAGCTAGAGGTGCTGGTGCAAAGGATCAATGATAAAATAATTCATGGCACCCCGCAACACAAAAGAATTTGGGTTGATGAAAGTGTGCTTTGCTCATGAAGCTCTGGGCAGGTGTTAACTGGATATAAACTTCTTCCAGACTGATCCCATGGACATTTATCTGAAAATAACCAAACCGACTCTGACCCCTAAGCTTTCACAGTTCCACTGACAGATATAGATCGATTTTCTATTCTGTTGGGCCAAAATGTTCAACACCCATTTTAATAGGTTTATAATAGAAGGATGTCTTTCCTTGAATTCTCTTGCACCACAGGTCCCTTGTTGAGAAAGACCCCCAAGTAACCGTGTAGATAAATTCTATTAATAAATATAATAGCAGCCTCTCAGGGACGTAGTTGCCAAGAATCTAAAGATAGTAACTTAGTGAGTTAGTATTTCTTCCACACAATGGCTCCTAGTTAAAAAGAAAGCAACCCATTTTAAAATGTACACACTTACATGTCTTGGGTCTTTAGGATCCAGCGAATCTAGGAAATCTTGCAAGCCTTCTAACTCCTTTTCCTTTTCAACCATTTCTTGCCTTTGTCTTTGCATCTGTCTCTCTAGTTCCAGAGCCTCCTCTTGTAACTGGTTTAGGAGAAGTATCTTGCTGCTTAACTGCTGTCGAAAACAATCTTTTTCTGCTTCAGACACCTGGATTTGAATATGCAGAGAATATAATCAACTAAACACGGGAAAGAATGAGTCTGCAAGACCTTCTCAGGCTAGGAGCTTAGGGGTACAAACCTGGGATCCGTTCCAATTCAGAAATTGGGGCACCCACTCCTGCTTAGAAGTCAACCCTCCTGGGGACAAGGGAAATTAATTCCAGACATAAGGACTGTGGCCTTTGGGTTTCTGGGTTGGTCTCTCATAATCTTATGATCAGCAATGTTGCTATAAATCAGTGTTTCTCAATCTTAGCAACTTTAAGATATGTGGACTTCAACTCCCAGAATTCCCCAGCCAGCCATGCTGGGTTGCTAAGGTTGAAAAACACTGCTATAAATGATGAAAATGGAAAATAGAATGCTAAACCTGTTGTTATTGTTCCCATCCCAGATTAAGTGTCGTTCTAATGTTTTGCTCCAAAAGCATCATGCCCCCACTTCCCCAACTGAGCCTTAAACTGGAACGTTTGAAATTTATCCTTTATACACAGAAAACAAAAAACCATAATGGATAAGGTTACATATTGCATTAAACCATTTTTATCTATGATTTATTGGGTTCACACAACACATTAATGGCAAACCAGACACATTATTGTTTAGCATGTTGGGTGAGTGTAGCCAGATCTTCATGTTACTCGTTTGTTGATACCTTTTTCTGGGCAACAGCATCTTGGACTTGTTTAAGCTCCTCAGTGACTTTTAAGACATGTTGTTCTGCCTTTGCTACTTCACTGTGCAGTGCAGCCAATTTTTCTTGGGCTGGAAAAAATGAAAAAATTAAGATTCAGTTGAAACTGATTAAAAGCAGGTGATTCAATGTGGCAGCTCTGAAGGGCATCTCTCTACTGTTAGGAAAGCAGCCATCACAATCCAGAGGTAGACAAGATGTAAATAATTGCTGCCAAAGCTTTTAATGCCTTTTTCTTTCACGCACAGGCTTTGAGAGGTTCAGTGGATGAGGATCAGAAAAGGGTTTAAAAAGAAAGATCAAAAAAGCCAAGGAATTTTTCTTTAAATCTGAATAACCCCTGAAACCAGCGGGGAAGCTGCCTATTTCGTATCATCTCCTATGTGATCTCACTGACTTGATGCATTTATTTATAGTTCAGCATAAATCAAATGCTTCCGAGGTCAGCCAACACACAGAGGCCTAGGCTTCCTGCTCATGGCTGCAAGGTAGGAAAAGGAAGTCTGTTGGTACCTCCTTTAATCTTTCTCTCTTTTTCCTCAAGCTGTTCATCAAGCAACTGAAGAAGATTCTGTTTAAGCTGCTGGGCCTCTTGTTGCTCCTCCTGTTCCAGGTTTCCCACTTGCATCTGCTGAGCCTTACTGGGGATGTAACCTTCCACAGCATACATGTTCCTTTTGTACCTGGCCTTCCCAATGTAAGGACTTTCACCCGGTACATTGTCAAATTCAACATCCTAAAACAGGAGAAGTAGTGCAGAAGTCCAGGATATTAGGTGATCTACAAAGCCAATTATCTGAATCAGGAGACTTTTTAGGTAGTTTGAAATATTTTTCTTTTGATTCAACCAATGCATTTCACTCGTATACAAGAATCTTACTACTAATTCTTATGGTATTAAACAACTAACAACTTCATCCCCAAGTCCCTTTACACATTTGTGGATTTCATATTCTCCAGCCAACCTGTACGTTTGGGAATTGTTATATAAAGTTCCCATGATATGTACTATTTTGCATAGGTGAAGGAGAGAAATAAGAACATCTAAGAACCAAGAAAGGAGAGAGTCTCATTTTCACTCAGTAGGTCTTCCCCAACCTTGATACCTCCATGTTTCACCTCCTGGAACTACACAGTCTGCATGGCCCATCCTTAGTATTTGGGGGCCTGAGCATTTGGGGACCTTCAGGAGGTCAAGGAAGTCTGCATTAGAGGCCTCAACTATGCCAAGCCTCACAAGTACAATACAAGTAAGCATTGTCCCTCCCCATCTCTCCCAGGATGAAGAGATGGCCTGCAATTTACTTAGGCTTCATACTTCGGAAGCACACAAAGTCCCACTAAAACATGGTCCAGTTACAAGAATGACTTTTTTCATCACTCCTTCCATAAGCCTGGAGTTAAGCAGAGGAAGAAGTTTTCATCCAGAAATCTGAGCACATCCTTAATGTGCATTAAATCCCCCTTCTCTGATCGTCCCCCTGGGAATGACTAGAGTCCTGACTATCAGAAATTTGGCTCCCACACTAGCCAAGATTTTAGATGCTTGAAAACCAGAATACACCATTTCCAAGAATTACCTCCACTGGATAATACCCTAATGGCTCGAATTTGGCGTCGATTTTATAGAAAGCCAGTTCTTGTTCCAGCTCATACTGCTTCTGACAAGCTCGAGTCAATTCCACGGTTTTCTGCTTCAGCTAATGCAAAATGTAGGTTGTAAAGCAGTGTCAGTTTCAGGAAGATATAGACATAAGCAGCATGTCAGTGTCACAGCATGATAATGAACATGGATTATGTAACAAATCGGTTTATGCATCATGCTAAGCTATGGTTTGACCCATGGTTTGCTGAACAATCCATAGTGGGCTGGTTCATACAGCATGCTAAGCCAAACCAGACAGATCACATTATGGCTTAGTGTAACATATGTCCTGAGCCACAAGTATACACAAAGGCTATGACAGAGCGAGCAAACACCTGAGCGCATTTGATGTATTTATATGGCCAGCTGTGGAATAGCTTGTCCTGTACTGTTTCTGCTTTTCATAGTTGTCCAAAGGGTTTGCTGCATTATAGCCATTTATTACCTAAAACAAATCACATAAAGATTTCTGAATATCATGTGTCCTATAAGCATGCATGCTTGACAAGCACAAGGAAGTAATGGACTGTGTGCTTCCTAAGTTTTATTTTTTTTAAAGGATGACAAATTCAGGAGGCTTTTATAAATTCATTTTAAATTTTCACATCAGTGCTCTACTATTGTTATTGTTGTTTCTTCCGTTTTCTTTTAAATATGAATATATGTTAGTCAATAGCTGCAGCATTATTCCTCTTTCAATCCTCCTCTTTTTGACTGAATAGTTTTAGTAAATAACATTATTCCTTTCATTACCTTTTATTCCTGATGCTATGTAAATATACTGAGAGCTCTTTGCACCAAAGTCAAATTCCTTGTATGTCTAATCATACTTGGCCAATGAAGTAGTCTAGTCTAGTCTAGTCTAGTCCAGTTCATTCTAGTCTAATCTATTCTACTACCTATTTTTAGATTGTTCTGAATTAGCTAGAAAGAGGAATTTGTTCAATTTGGATATTACTTTTTTTTTTTTTAAGGAGCTGAAAGAGAACAAACATGGTTCCCCTTACTAAGTAGTCTCCTTTGGAGTTCAGAGATGTTCCAGAGGTAGTACTAAAATCTTACTTTGAAACTGGACTGGTGGGGAAGTAACCTAAGCCTTGATTTGCTCAAGAACTAATCAATTAACCATAGTTAATAAAAACACAGTTAAGTATTGTATGGTTATCACATAAGGAATTTAACTTCATATTTAGGTCTGCAACTAATCCATAACCTTAGAAAAGAAACCATGGTTGCCTAACACCCACATACATCTCTACCTCTACTAAAAACTTTAGTCAAGTAGCTGTAGCATTGATAAACTGCAAGTAATTCCAACATGCAACAATTTTCTTATGTCTGTGTCATTAATGAAGATCTGTGCACTTCCTTCTTTTCTTTTCTTACAGGTTTTCCTGCTGGATACCTGAAGAAGAAATGTAGCAATCTTCCAAGAAGTAGCAGAAAGGAGAACTGAAGGGGGGAAAAAAAGAGAGAGAAAAGAGCAAAAACGGAATAGATTGGAATAAGGAGAAGAAATAGATTTTAATTTAGAAAATGCCCACATATCATGCAGCACCTTCAATTGACACGATAAAATACATGATTCGGGGGAAAGAAGTTTTGAGCAAGCTGTGGTAAAGCACATATCTTTTGCAATAAGTATCTGAAACAGGACCGTGCAAGGGAGTCTATAGGACAGCAGAAAAAAGTGTACCCTTGTAAGCTTACAAATGAAGACCACTTTTAGCAGGGAACAAGGGTTCAGTAGCAGGAACTGGGTGAGGGGAAAAGAGAGGCAAGCAAAACTTATAATCAGGACAGGAGTATGTAATGCTGAAAAATACAGCATGCCTAATCTTGACTATTTGGGCACAGAACTATTTTTATAGGTGCTCTGTTTGTTCAACTGGTGTGACAATAGGAATTGAAACCATCTCCTGGAAATGTGGCTTCTCGTCCTATGGGCATTGCCCAGGATGACTTTCCAACCAATTGTGCTGAACATTTCCGATTCTTTGGAACTGTTGCAATCACATCTGAAGCTGGTTTTCTTGCAACCAGATGGCAGCAAATGGCTAAGCGTGATAGAATATTTCATGAGTACGGATTTCTATTCAGAAACAAAGAGTTAATTTAAGACTTTGAAAGTCAACAGTAAATCCCAGGTGTGACAAAACCTTAAGTAGTAAGTAGCACTATGAACAGCAGTTTAGCTTCTAATGAATGAACGATGTTTAAATATATCTATGTGAAGTAAAAATGTGTTAGAAAATGTTTAGATTTGTACCAATTTAAATGGACACACGCAAATATCCCGATGGCCATTTTTAGGAACACCAAAAGGAAAGTCATTCTTAGAAGGTTCACCAGATACCCATGAATATAGCTGCTGAATAAGGTCATCCCCAAAGCAAATGGTCTGAACAGAAAATAGACAGTGATGTTTGATATTACAATATAATATTCAAAAACCAACATTGCTTTACCAACTCATTTTTGGTTTCCAGCTCACTCTCCAGGTCTTTATGGCTTTGTTTCTGCTGCCCGTGCTTCTGTTTTAATGATTTATTCTGCTCCTCTTGTTGCTGGAGCTGCCCTAGCAAATGAGACTGTTCGTTTTTTAAGCGTTCCATCTCTTTGGTCATCTGTTCCAAGTTATTTTCTAGATGTTCTACCTCTTCTGCAAAAACATGCAAGCCAGAAAATGACGTCCAGCTTCTTCTTGGCAGAAAAACGAGTAAACAGTACAAGCTGGACTGGCAGATACCAAAGTGGATGCCCGTTTTATAACCCAAAGGGAAAACAAGTAGGGGGCTGGAGCCAAAAACATCCCTGGGGGCATCATATTACACAGTGTGGGGCTATTACAGACAAGTTCTCTTACTGCACATAGACTGTATGGAACCAGACTAAGGCATAAAATGTTGGTTACCATCCAACTTCCAGAAACAACCCTTTTCTGTACAAAGCACACCCACAGTCTAAAAAAATTTGAACAGTTCATTTTCAATTGCAACCCTAAGTGCATCTACACTAAGAGGAGTTCCACCTAATGCAATATTACGTATTTTTAGAAGAAATGATCAGATTGCATAATGACTGTTCGAACTGGCACTTATAGTATTTACCTAAATTAAACCTTTCAAGAGCCTCTTCCCTGTCACCATTTGTCACTGGCTGTCCCTCAAGATCTTCCAATGACCTCAGATGGAAAATGGTATAAAGACGGTAGTGAGGCAGGTTTACCACAGGATTGTCTGCCAGGAACAGAGAAGTCAAATCTTTAAGTGGCTTCAGTTTAGCTACCTCATGGAGCTGAAAGGAAGTAATAGTACAGGAATTAGACATTGAGGTATAAGTCACAGTTAGTTTTCTACTACAGATAAAAGCAACAGACCATTAAATGATATGTTAAATGGTACTTTTATGCTAAAACTGAACACATAGGTGTAATCTTTAAGATATTGTACCAATCATGACACACAATATTAACTCAATAATTTAATTTTCATAGTTTAACAAACTATTGAATAGATACCGCTGAAAATAAGTCTGTAAGAATGCTACACAAAGGCAAACTGAGCTGAATTCTGATTTAGGGAAACCTTTTTTTTAAAAAAACCCTACTTTTTCTACTACTTCCATAGAAGTATACAAATACAGAGAAATATTAATAGACCTCCCCCCCCCAAAAATAGAAATCAGTGAAGAACATTTCAAGGGCCACACAAAATGCTTCTTTGTGCAGAAGAGTACATTTTCTTTTTAGCTTTAGGGAAGGTTTACCAGAAATGATGCGACTCTGTCCTTGTTTTCTAACAGAAAGTAAAAAATATTTATAGTGACTCTCTGCAAAGTCACAGGATTCTACAACTGGTTCATCACATGACTCTGAAAGCTGGCTCCTTTAGTAATAGTCAGTGTTGGTATCGTTAGTATTCCAAAGAAGCAGAGCAGTTTTCAAAGGAGATGGGAAGGACTTAAACAAGGCAATCACAATAACAGCGATGATACTACCTCCGTCCCCCATTGATAAGCATCGCTAGGGGGGGAAATCACTTACCGATGAGATTTTATTTTTTCTCAAGTTCAGGATGCGAAGGGACCTGAGTTTTTTCCCCAGCCACATAGGGAGGTGTTCAATCTCATTCCCAGCCAGATTCAGCTTCTGAAGGTTGTGCAAGTGTTCAATGCCTTCTATTTTACTGAACAACAAAGACATATGTTGGCAAACAGGCATTTTAAGGTGAGGAACAGGTCCAGATTCTAACATTAATGTTAGTTCTTTCACAAAGGAACACCTGAGATAACATTTTCCCTTCCTACAGGCCAGGCACTGAGAATAAACACTAAAGCTTAAATTAAAAACTAAGACATTACAAAAATGCAAGGGCATCTAGGGAAGTTTGCTAACAAACACTAGTTTGTTATTACATATTGTTCTTCCATGTACTTCCTTTTAATTAAATTCCCACAAAATCATATGCTACTTTTGAGACTCAAGCTTGGTTTTGAAGTTATGTTACTTTTCAGCTTGAATCAAGCCTATTCGAAGTCTGTAGAAGTAAATGCCAATGAACTCAGTAACCCTAGTTTCTGAGTAGGCATGCCTATGAATGCATCTATATTCTCTGATAGACAAATTTGATAGAGAACTTCTTTTTTTTGCTTTACAATAAAAAGCGAAGTACAGAAGAAGTACAAAGATACTGAAAGCTAAAATTGAGAGGCTTTATCAAGAGTTCATTTATTTATTCATTTAAGAAGTATGTGAAAGTCTGTCCTCCTCATTTTGCAGTCATACAGCATGTTAGTCTCTGGTTGACGCAAGTTAAAAAATGGAAACAGCCTTATCTGGTTTGAAAAAGAAGCCTAAGAAAAGCATAACAACTATGGATTCCTATTTGTAGCATGAACAATTTTCAGTTCCCTTCATGGAAAAGATTGATTCTCTTTCCAGTGCAGCTCCTTCTCCAGCCTTGGGCCCTCCAGATGAGTTGCATTTTAGTTCTTAATTCTTGGACAGAGATTTGAGGAATTAAACTTATCTGGAATACACCAGATGATGCCTAATACATAATAATAAAGGAAGAGAAATATTCAGACTATCTACTTTGTAATTATTCACTCTTTTTTCTTGCTTACCTTATTTTATTGAAAGAGAGATTGAGATCCAATAACTTCAGAAGTTTATCCAATTTTTCAATCTTTTCAATGAGATTATGACTGAGATTTAGGACTTCTAGTTTACTACATTTCTCCAGGTTTTCTATGTACTGAAAGTGATAAAAATATGCTATTGAATTAAGCTCTGCAATAACATTATAAAGCATTATAAAGTGTTTCTTCAGATCAGGTTAGTGCCTTCCAGTTTATTTGGACCACAGTTCCCATAATATCTTGCCCTATTTGTCTGTGGTTGATGGTTGTTAAAGTACAAAAATATCAGAAAAGCACCAGACTAGGTAAATACCTTAAATTTCTTTCCTCCATCTTTACCAAGGGAAAGATTCAGAGCAGTTATGCGTGCCAGATTCTCTTGCTTGGCGAGCTTCTTAATAAGAGGCTCTGTTATGTATCTGATGCCTGGACTGCCATCTGAAATCAACAATAAGGTGTTTGAGGTAGTAAATGATACAGAAAGAGTACAGCATGAACAATCTGAAAATCAACAAAGGCCATGGGGGGTGAAATGTGGTTGCTTTAGAATCCCTGAGACTTATGACAAACCTAGTCAATAGCTTGGGTGATGTACATGTTTAGAACAATTATGATCCTTTCTTAGATGGTGCAGTTGTGCTCCAATGGAGTCTCCCTTCTCATCTAATTCACTTCCTTGCTCTGCATACTAGCTTATGTAGAACCTGTAGGCTTCTACAAAACACTGAGGACAGAGGGGAGTTCAGGAGAGGAAGAGCTGTACTCAGCTCTTTGGTTTCCCTTCAGCACACTCAGTTGCACTTCCCAAGAATGTGCTGTGTCCTATATGATGCTCAAAAGATGTACACTATTATTTTTGACAGGTGCTCCTTAGCATTAGCATGGATGTCATTTGGGCACTAGGCACAATACCTTCCCCGCAACAGGCCTTTCAAAAGGCAAGGGAATTTTTTTCTGCCATTTTAACTGCTTTCCTCTTGTATTATATCACGTAGATAACTTTAATAAGTAAAAATAATTTGCTTTATTAAATGTATAAGCTGCCCAACTCCATTACCACTCTGGGTGCCATACGGTATAAAAACTTTAAAATAAAACAATCCATTCAATACAAAATAGGAAGAGAACATCAAGAGAAAAGCACCACCAGCCCCCCCAACAATTTCAAATGATGTGAACTGCCCTGGAAACCTTATGAGGGGGATATAAAAGTATTAGATGAATTAGTAAGCAGAAATACAGCACCGCAATACTATATATTCTACGAAAAATATATAATAGCCATATAATTGTTTAGTTCTCCTAAGCAAAGTCACTGAAGTAAAGCTGCAGTATTTTAAATGATTTATCACCAATTATTACAATACCTGCATCGCTTTCTTGACCGACATCTCCTTGATACCTCTGCCCTGTTATCAGATGGGGAGGTGGAGTTCCTTCTGTGTTCAGCGGAGACGATGACCTGCTACTGGCGCTCGCAAGAGACTTCGGACTCCGAGTGCGGGATGGAGACATCTGTGGTTTCCCAAGTGATGTTTTTTGTGGCTGGCCTTTCCTCATTGCACAGACTTCTGCATGTTAAATGGCAAAAAGCTACAAGAACAGAGACCCACGCTTTCCTTCAAAGTCTTCCAAGGGCATAACTAATTTTGCAGCTCTTCACCATAAAACAAAAGAACTCAAGGCTTTTTAAACCAGCTTCCCTCCAAAATAGTAACCCTCCCTGCACTAACTTTTCGTAATAAGGAAACTAATTAGAAGAACACATTTCCCAGGGCAGTCTGGTTTTATGGCTCCATCTTTGCTTGCTCATTGCACGCCTCTTTCCCGGAAGCTGTGGTTCCCCCTTAGTGCATAAACACTTTAGCAGATGTTAGCTGCTGCTTTTACAGTCCCAAAGTAACAAGATCAGCTCAAGAAATCCCTTCAGTGTTTGCCCTGACAATCTGATTCCATCACTACCCCCATACAGTATAGGTAATGTCTGCTACTGAAGCATTATTCATAATCTGTTCTCTTAGATGGATACTTATGAAAGCAGTGCCCCGAAATTTATTTTGTTACTTACTGTTTTTTAAAATGTGCCTTTTGATGGTTTCTATATTCATGCCTTTGGGCATGTTTCTACTGGTATACAAAAGAGCTAGTCATATTGCTGAAGATTAGCTTAAACCAAAGTCAGGAAAAACAACTCTCCTGTTTCAAGTTCATTCTCAACTGAGAATTTGCTGTAATATGGTTAACCAATATTTGAAAAAAGGCAGCCCTTTTGTCTAGATAGATCTGTTCAATAATATCAGATTATATTGCTAATGCATTATTTCTTTTCTGATTCCTTTCTTCCTTAGTATTGTGCTTCTTATTACCTCAGCAGGAGACAGCACTTGGCTGACCTTGTTTAGGTTCAAAAACTGCTGCAGGTCTATATACCTGGACAGGAGACCACAAGGAAATCCAGAGTTATAGGCTAGACTGTGAACTTAAAAAAAATCCTAGAAGAAAACAATGGCAAAGAGCTTTTATACTGCAGCAAAGAAAATTATATGGACGGGCCTATGAAATCACAAGAAGTTGAGCCTGAATGATGGAAGACTTTACTGGGTTTATCGGACTCTGAAATTCCCTCTTACGGAGCACCCAAGGAATTGTGAAGTTAAGAAGGAAAAAAAATGTAATATTTCATCATGTAGAGGAATATGTTGTGCTTCCAGATGTTGCTGGACTACAACCCCTAGCAGCCCCTGCCAGCATATCCATTGGCAAGGGGTGCTGAAAACTATAGCTGTGCAATATCCAAAAGACAACAGTTCCTCCATTGCAACTTTACTCTAACTTTGCCCAACATAGAGAATCGGTCCCCCACTTTTAGCCCAGGGTGCTCTGTGAAACTAGCCCACATGGATAATTGTTCAGTGTCATGCAAGTGCAGAAAATCTGTTTAGTTCCATAAAACACATTTAAACCATGAATAAGGGACCACAACCAAGACAGCCACTTACTATTTTGCACTTTGAGACCAGCACCCCCTTTGAAAACATTTAAACGGGTGTGGGGGGGGAAGAGTTTCTCTAATAGAGGAAGGAGGAAACAGCTTGTATGTTTCAAATCTGGGTCAATTTCCTTCACTTTCACAGGGCAAGATACAATGTATCAAAAACTCCCCCATTTTAACATTAAATCAGAATCCATAGAAAGCAAAGCCAACCATTCCTGGAAGTTTTTCTTTAAAAAAAAAACATGAACTTTGGGGAAATTATCAAACATTCATATAACAAAATAAAATCGAGGGCTGCCTGGCAAGATTGTGACGTGGGGAGTGGGGAGGAGAGATTTCTTTGGGGGAAGCTACAAAAAAGAAGAAAGAGGGGCTTGAATTTGGGGGGGGGGGACCCACCAACCAGAAAAGAGGCACAGCAGCTTCTGCTGCAAGAAGGGCAATCCCCATCAGCCCCCCGAAGCTGGTTGATGGGACTTGTAGTCCAAAGTATGTCCTGTACTGTACATATAAGCACAATTTTCAGGTTTTTTTAAAAACAATAGGTATTTTGAGCAAGGGGGACCCTCCAGCCGGAGAAGACCTACAGCAGCCTCTGCTGCAAAAGGGGCGATCCCTATCAACACCCCCCAGCCCGGAGCTGGCAGATGGGACTTGTAGTCCAAAGCATCCCCTACGCACATAAGCACAATTCTCCCTCTGGCCTCTCAGCAATAAAAGCACTGCAAGAGG